TAAATTTCAGACATAAGTTTTCCTCTTTCACTTTCAGAAAAGTTATTCCTTCAGTCTTTCAAACCTCTCCATTCTCAGCTTATGAATTTGCCTTTCAGTTCATTAATAAAACGTAATCAAAAGAGAAATTCATTGTCTTGTGATGAAATCTACCAACCTCTTTGTTTCTGCTTTCTCATTACAATAGGTTACTCTTTCTTTGGTTAAGCTGATTCTTTCGGTTTAGGCATTCCCTCCGGCTGAAGGACTTGCTATCGGTAATTAGCCTCTCTCTTGCAAAATCAAAGTTAAAGTCATCTCATTGTTATTTAGTCAAGTCGTGGAATTTCATACATACTACCTCCAGCTCTATATTGATGCCCTCTTTTATAGCAGATCTTACCAGATAGTTGTTTCTCATTTGTCACTTTCTCCTGAAACTGTTATTAGGCTTCCGTCTCTATTCTGCCACAAAAACTAATGATGCACATTGCTGGTTTTAGTGATTAGTTGATTTTCTAAGAATTCTGTTTCTCAGAAACCTTTGAAATAGGTAATTCTTTCCTCCTTGTACATTGTTTATGTGACTTTTGAAGTGTTAGACTTGTGATTTTCTTGCTCATTTTTCTGATCTTCCATAGTGAGGTTCCCAGGGATTAATCCTCAGCTGTCTTCTCTGTGTAATGTAATCACTAGATGATCTTGTTCGTGTCTGTGGCCTTACTTGCTGTTCCTTTGTTGGCCAGCCTCATGTTTGTATTTCTTTTCTTACCTCCTCTTTGAGCTCCAGTCTCTGCTTCATATTTGATACATTAAACTTCACCATTGTTGAAGAATCCCTTCTCTGCTTTCTGCAAACCTGGCTTTCCTCCCTAGTTAAGACTTCATCCAGTTATTCATCCCAAGATTTTTAGTGTTTTTTTAAATTTTATTTTTGTATTTTTAAATTAATTTTTTAAAGATTAATTTTTATTGGAAAGGCAGATATGCAGAGAGGAGGAGAGAGAGGAAGATCTTCCATCTGTTGATTCACTCCCCAAGCAGCTGCAACGACTGGAACTGAGCCAGTCCTAAGTGAGGAGCTTCTTCTGGGTCTCGCACATGGGTCCAGGGTCCCGAGGTTTTGGGGTGTTCCTGACCGCTTTCCCAGGCCACAAGCAGGGAGCTGGATGGGAAACGGGGCTGCCGGGATAAGAACCAGTGTTCACATGGGATCCTGGTGCATTGAAGACGAGGACTTAGGACGTTAGGCTATCGTGCTGGACCCTAAATTTTATTTTTGATGATGTTTACGTAGTTGATCAGGGTGGGAAAGATCAAGGCTCAGGGGAATGTGGACAAGACCGTTGTTTACACATTTTCTTTTCCTTCCTATATCTAGGGGATAGGAAGCTAAAGTCATTTTGATTCATCTCTTTCCCCATATCTCTATCCAAGCTATTAGCAAGTACTGTCAGTTCTGTCTTCAAATTACATACGACAGACTGCTAATCAAGCCCAAGTCACTCTCATTTGTGCTAGTCCAATAACCTAGACTGGTATTCTTATACTCAGTAGGAATGCCACAGTAATCCTTGTAAAACTTAAGATAATCCACACCCACCCTTAAAAGGTTATCCACATACACCCCAAAGGTTCCCATGTCACTCAGAACAAAATCCAAATCCCTAGGCAGGGTTTACAGTGTTCACTTAAGCTAACCTTATCCATTTTTTCCTATCAGGATTAACCATAGTATGTGTGCCATGCAGTTGAAACTCACCTTTTAGGTGACTTTGGATGTGCCAAATGGCTTCTTGCTTCAGAGCCTGTGCTTGTTTCTGTTATCTCAAAGTTACTCCCAAGATCTTCGCCTGAATCATATGTCTTCACTTAATAGAAGGCTTTTGCTGACCCTACCAGCTTAGCTTGCTATTACTTTGTTCCTTTACCTACCTTTATTTTTCCTTCATAGCCCTAATCAGTGTTCCCTTCATAGCCCAAACCAGGTGTTGTATGTATTGCTTATCATTTCTCCTGGAATGCAAGCTTCCTGAAGAGTTGAAAATTGAGTTACCTTTTGAGTCTGTCATATAAAATGCTTGGTAAATATGCCAAATAAATGAGTGAAGCCTTTGGATAAAGATGTTACTGCTGCCAGTATTCTGGTACACAAACATAATCCCAGGCTTCTGACTCTAAGGAGTTGCTTTTATGCCTTGGCCAACTCTTTCTGATCATTTATTTATTTATATCATTTCAGTACTCTCTATCTGTATTACTGTTATGCTGTGTGTCCATAACAGCATTAACTGCCCTTTGTTTTGGGCTGCTGGTGCATATCCCATTCTCCACTTGCCCTCCCTCGCTGTGCTTGATACATGCTTTCATAATTATGAAAGAATTAGAACCATTTTTCTCATGAGGCTCATAGTATCAGAATTTTAAAACTATATTTTAGTTTTTCTATGACATTCAGTTTTTCATTTAAAGCTAATGAAAAACTCAGAAATCGAGATTTTTCAAAAAAATTTTGTCTAACAGCTTGTAAACTGCTTAATTTTTTTAGCAGCTTTACAATAGTGACTTTAATTTTAGGATGCATGCTTTCGTAATATTGGTACCTGGTCTGCACTTTGTAAAAGGTACTTGAGTGTGGTTGAATACAGAAGTATCTTGTAGTTTTCTTAAGATTTTCCTCTTTTTTTTTTTTTAAAGATTTATTTATTTTTATTGGGAAGGCATATACACAGAGAGAAGGAAAAACAGAAAGATCCTCCACTCACTGAATGACTCCCCAAGTGGCCACAACAGCCAAAGCTAAGGTGATTGAAAGCCAGGAAGTTCTTCCAGTTGTTCCTCCCACATGGTTGCAGGGGCTTAAGGCTTTGCACCATCCTGTATTGCTTTTTCGAGGCCACAAGCAGGGAGCTGGATGGGAAGTAGAACAGCTAGGACATGAACCTGCACCTTTATGGGATCCCAGCACATGCAAGGTGAGAATTTAGACACTAGGTTGTCACGCCAGACCTGCCTTTCTTAATTGGGTTTACTCATATAATAAACCTGTCTGTTGTACTCCACTGTTCTTCTGGCCATTAATTCATGATGGGGAGAAATCATGCAGTGAAAAATGCTTTTCAGGTTATAAGTCACCAGCTAGAAGGAGAAAAACATTGATTGTTTTGCATAGTCTAAAGACAGAGGGCAGATATAAAGCAAGAATAATTGTGGCCTTTGCGGCTAATGAGGATATCCGTGTTTTCTACATGAACAGTGGGCTAAAGCAGAGCAGCTCTTAGTGTAGCTGCCACCCACCATGCTGTGAAGGAGGCTGCGATAGCAGATGGTATCCATACGCAGCTTGGTTTGTTTAGAAACATGCATAAGGAGCAGCATGTGTTTTGTTTTGTTTTGTTTTCCCCTTAATTACTCAAAGTCAAGGAGATCAGTTTTCAAATAAAATGTAGTAATACAGCCAGGAGAAAAAGATTGTAAAAGAGAGATGCACAACACCATTTTAAGTGCATTTTAACTGTATGACATTTATTTGGTTTTTGCTTTGTAAAAAGCTCTGGATTAGGCCTTACATTGCTAGGGGATAAAGAAAAGAGTGGGTTAAGTACTACAGGATCAGTATAGTGCAGTAAACACATTCAATTACTGGGAATACAGAAATTAAGACTCCTGTCCTCAAGTAGCTTGAGTACAGCAGAAGACATAAAGTAAATGGATAAACACAATAGGTACTGTGCTAATTGTGAACCAGGACACTGGGGAAGCTTGGAAGAAAGGTATCTGATCCAGCTGAGGGGATAGGGAGTGTCAGAGAGGAAAGCCTTACTGTTCACCTCAGTCTTCTAATGTACATATTAGGTGCTGGCTAGGTAAAAAGGTCTGTGGGGGCAGAGGGCAGAGGAGTGGATCAGGGCAGGAGAAGACACTTGAACAATGACCAAGAGGCGGCAAACGAGGTGGCTTTGTGCAAGAAATGTCAGTACTGCTATTACATCTGTAGGAGTTAAGGCTGGTTGAAAAGCACCAGATTGTGGTAGAATTTGGTGTGTTTTAAATGTTCATGCTTCTTCAGAGCTTGGCCTGTTGACTCTACAAGAGAATATCCTAAAATGTTTGCAGAAATAGCAAGCAAAATTCACCCATCGATATGCAGAATAATCTGATTTTTTTTTTCTGTGTGCAGTTTGTGTTTGCCTATGGTGTGAATATAGGATGCTCTGTGTTTACTGAACACTGTCTTAGATGATACATCTTGTCAGTTCTACACAAAAACATTATTCAGAAGAGAATTTACTCTTACGCTGGAACTTTGGGGGGCACCCAAAGGAGGAGCTGTAAAAGAATTGCTCATAAAGTAAATATTGGGGGTATGTACACATAACTTAAAAGTAATTTGAAAGCTTAGCATATTAGCTACACTTTTTAAAAAATTACTTATTTGAAAGGCATAGCAACTGAGGATGAGAAAGGATGACAAACACAAAAAGAGGGAGAGCTCTTCCATCTGTTGATTGACTCTCCAAATGACTACAGCATCCAGGTCTAGGCCCATCTCCCATGGCGGACTATCTGGCCGTGTGCCACTGCCTTCCCAGGTGTGTTGGTAGGAAGCTGATCTGAAGTGGAGCAGCTGGAACTTGGGATCATATGGGATGCCAGTATTGTAGCAGTGGCTTAGTTTCCTGGGCTCCGTTGCCAGCACCGTGACTACAATTGTTATGTCTGTTTTGCTAATACCAATATGGGACAAGAATTTCCCAAAACCTTTATCATTTAGCTCTCAGCTTCTAACATAATTTTCTGAAGTAAAATTTTGAATGTAACTATTTGGGGCAAAAAAAAAAAAAAATTCGCTGAAATCCACGCATGGTGATTTTTAAACACTATATGTGAGTTCCATGAGCTTTCTGAAGTATGTTGTGTGTGTATAAAATTTTGGAGAATCCAAGGAATATGGAAAGGGAAAATGCTGTAAAATTATAAAAAGCAATTTATGATTTAATTATCCTCTTTTTGCTATATAGGAATTGGAAAATAACAAAAGACTTCAAAAACAGGCTGCGACTAGTCAGAGTGCCACAGAGGTTCGCCTGAATAGAGCTCTGGAAGAAGCGGAAAAGTACAAATTGGAGTTAAGCAAATTAAGGCAAAACAACATGGTATGTAAAAAAAAAAAATGAATAGCCGTGATTATGATCATGTTTGCTAACTACTTCCTTTATGCAAATATAAAGAATAATAGTAAAATCTATGATTTATTTAAAGTTTATTTTCATCTATATGAAAGGCAGAGTGACTCTTGGTCAGGGTGGGCCATGCTGAAGTATAAAGCCAAAATCCATCTGGGTCTCCCATGTGGGTGGCACAGGACCCAGAATCTGATCCCCCCAAAATTCATTCAAGCGGATTGGAGGCATGGGAGCCAGGTTTGGAATTAGGCACTCAGATACGGGAGTTTGTGGAAAATGGAATTACATTGTGTAGTTTCTGAGAACTTTGTATTTTATAGCCTTTAATACTGTCATTTTTTATTCTTTATATTTTAAGCTTTGTAATTAACATACACTGATAAATTGTATAGGACACAGTGCAGTAATTTAATACATACACAGTGGCAGTGGATCATACCAGACAAATAGCCTTTCCACTTCCTTGTCATTGCATTTGGAATCTACCAGCACATCTTTTCCAGTTTTTGATTACAGAATCATAACAACATCATTCTTAACTATAGTAACCCCTACTGTGTATGACATTGTGGTTCTTTCCTTTAACTTTTAGTTTCGTTTTGTTTTTGTTTGGGTCCTTCAGATGTACTATGAAATGTCTTTTTGGGGGTGCAAGAACTTACTGCTGTACATTTCCTTCTGAGTCTCACTTTTACAATATCCTTAATAACTTAGTATGTTGTGTTTTCATTTTCATTAGTTTGAAGGAATTAAAAAAATTTTTTTTGTTTCTTCATTGATGCTTTGTTCATTTCAGGAGCATGTTGTTTACTACCCATGTATTTTTATTTTTTGTAAAGTTTTGTTGATTTCTAGTTCTTTTCATTCTGATAAGAAAATATATACGATCTGAATTCTGTGTATTTCAATGTTTTGAGGCTTATTTGGAGTTTAATAAGTAATAAAATCCGGAGGAAGTTCTGGCTGTTGAATGAAATGTCTGTTATGTGAGTTTGGTTGGTAGTGTAGTTTTTACTGACATTCTCTTGTTGATTTTTTTGTCCATGTCATCTTTCTGTTGATAAAAGTGGGTTATTGAAATCTGCCACTCTAATTGCATTGATTCTTTTTTTTTTTTTAAGATTTATTTTTATTATTTTTTTATTGGAAAGGCAGATATACAGAGAGAAGAGACAGAGAGGAAGATCTTCCGTCCGATGATTCACTCCCCAAGTGAGCGCAACGGGTCGATACTATGCCGATCCGAAGCCAGGAGCCTCTTCTGGGTCTCCCACGCGGGTGCAGGTTCCCAAAGCTTTGGGCCGTCCTCGACTGCTCTCCCAGGCCACAGGCAGGGAGCTGGAAGGGAAGCGGGGCTGCCGGGATTAGAACCGGCGCCCATATGGGATCCCGGGCGTGCAAGGCGAGGACCTTTAACCACTTGCGCCACCGCGCCGGGCTCTGCATTGATTCTTAGAAGTAATGTTGGTTTCATTAAATTGGGTGCTTGGAATTAGGTGATTATGCATTTAAAATCATTGATGCCTTCTTGCTGAATTGACCAATATATCATTCTTTTGTGACTTTCTTTATTCTCTTTTTGATATAAGTACATATAAGTATAGCTATTTGATATAAGTATAGCTATTCCTGCGCACTTTTAGTTTCTATTTGAATGGAAAATCTTTTTACAACTGTTGAATTTCAGTCTGTCTTTGCTGGTAACATAAATTTATGCTAGGAAGCATATCACTGATATATATATATAACATATATATGTGAGTGTGTAAATCTATATAGCAGTCTATATCTATTAAATAGGAAATTTACTCCATATATGTTCATAATAAATAGTGACTTAGTCCTGCCATTTTCCTCAGAATTCTTATTTCCTTTGAATATCCTGTGTTCTTTTCCTAGAAGGTTTTATACATGAAATTGTTGTTAGAATAGTCATCCTTCTCTGTGTATGTTGTAATATTTGAAACATCGTTTGTAAGGCTGATACAGTGATGAAAAATTCCTCTAGGTTTTGCTTGTTTGGGAACAGTATTTTTTTCTTCATTTGTGTACACACTGCTTCTTTGTATAAAATATTCTTGGGTGGCAATTTCTTTTCAGAACATGAAACCTATAATTCCTCCAGGTTTATAAGGTTTATGCTGAGAAGTCTGTTGAGATGAGAATTTCTTTAAAAGTGATTTGGTGCTATTCTCTTGTAAATTCTAGAATTCTGTATTGTGCTTTCTCTTATATCTCATTGAGTATTTATCCCAAGAATCATCTTCTGAATTCTTAGGTACTTCATCATTCTCCTTTTCTTGGGGGTCTGGTGCTGTGTTTCTTCTGTGGCATTATGTTGCTGTGCTTTTTCATACTTTCTGGGACCCTGTGTTGATGTTTGTACCTCTGACTTGCCAGTTGTTGCTGTGTATTTTAAAGAGTGGTTTTCATGAGTGGATGGCTTTTTCCCGAAGATCTTTGGTGTGAATTTGGTAGGCTACTCTGGCTTTTGTTCCCTTTGTACACCTAAGTTCAGTGTGTCTGAACTCTCTTTTAATATATTTGATGGTAGCAGTGGTGGGGCTCAGGGTGGCATGCAGTTTGTCATGTGGACCCCTGAATATAGTTCTCTTGATGCTCAGGTGAAAGACTGCAATCTTGGGAGAAGAACTGGTTCTGGGAATAAGCCGAGTTCCCTGAGTTCCAGCTACCCTAGGAGACAGGAGCCTGTTCTAAGGGGTTGGTAGTGACACTCGCAGTAGACTGGGTGTGTTGACCCGCAGCCGCTGCCTGAAGGGGAGAACCTGATTCTGAAGGTCTAGGTATCCTGTTTTCAGGCTTTTGTAAGCAGGATCCTCCCCCGACTTTCCTTTTTTAATTTAGCAGTGAGCTAAATAGCAAATCATGTGTTTTTTAAATTTTTGAAATTAAATTTATTTTATTTATTTGATGGTGGTTACAGAGTTGACTAGAGTGGGAAGGATCGAGGATCAGGGAAAAGAGGGTGAAATCATCGTTTCCTAATTCTCCATTTCTTGTCTCTGGGGCAGGGGGAGAGATAAAGGGGGAAGCCACTCCCAGCCTCCCAAATGTCCCAGGAACCAGGGATGGGGAACTGCCATCCAATATCAACCTATGTCACTTTTGGGCATCAGCCCTTCTTTATGATCTTTAGAGCGCCCTCATGTGGTGTTAACAGTATTATAAACGTGGGTATTGCCATAATTGAATGGTAGCCGTGCTCTTTGGAGGATTCACTCACTTCTTGATGCAACACATGTTTCTTTGGGTATTCATAGAATATATCAGATACTTTTTGTTTAAATTTTTATTCTGGATTTTTGGATTTTATGAGACAATTTAGTAAAGACTGGGATTTTCCTCCCTAAAATCCCTCTACCCCCCCCACTCCCCCTCCACCTCCCCGACAGATTTTCCCCACATTGCTACAATAGTATAGTGCTTCATAAGGAATCATGATTCCATCAGTCTGTTTTTTAAGAGTGCCTGGACAATGCTGGTACAGACAGTGTCAGACAGTCCTGCATCCTGTTGTATCGACACTTTTTAAACTAGAATTTAAGTGGGGGAAAAGAGTGGTGGTTGTATGTGGAAAATGCAATATTATTCTCTCTCAAGTTTCTACAACATAAAGGGGCTGTTTTATAAGACAGAGACTCCTAAACTATAATATGTGTGTGTACCCAGAGGGCATGTTAAATCCAAGATTGCTGGACCCACCCTGCAGAGTTGCTGAGGGTCTGTCCAGGTGAGCTCTGACAGTTTCTCTGGTGATACGCTCCTTGTTCAGAAACTTGGTTGTGCTAGCACTGTTGGAGAGTTACTGCAGGAGTTGTCGTCATATACTCAGTGCTTGCCCAGTGCGTGGCTTACAGTCAGCATGCAGTGCCTTTAATGCTGTTGAATAAATAAGATTCAAATGCTGATGTGTGCAAAAACCTTTTGAATGTCTTACAAATTCTGAATGTAAGTTTTGGTTCTGTGTCAACCTAAAAATATAGTAAAATTGTGTGATAATTTCTCCTTTAGAATAATATTTAATACTTTAATAATTATTTGGTTGGTGAAATTATGAACTGTTTATTTTAATTAAATAAAGAAAAATAGTTTATTAAGTAAAAAAATACATACTATATTCAGTTTAATACTTATTAGGAATAAAATGACACTGACCTCTGTAGTTCCTCTAACATAATTAGCAAAGATAAATAAATGTGACATAGTGACTGCAGGATTGTAAAGTATCATCTGTGACATGGTTTGTACTTATATTTATGCTGGGTTGGAGGACTACCAATGGTTGCATGATAAATTGGATTGATAGAAGTTATTCAATGGATGTTAGTATTTCCAATTTGGTGCATTTTAAAGGAATTTTGGAAAAAAAATTAATAGAAGGGTAACCATGTATAATGTCAGGATGTGCTCATTCTAATTGTGGATTTGATCACAATCATTTTTTAGGAGAGTACAAAGGGAAACTGTTTCCATGGCAACAGATGACTCTCCTTACTGTAGCCAGTCATTTTGAAAATTCAAGTAACACAGTAGTGTTGGAACAACTCAGTATAAAACCATCAACACAATGGAAAATTTGTCAAGGATAAAAGCTTCTAATCTCATGTCTGCATTATGTGTGACTAATTCAATCAATATGTTGTTTGTTATTTACTATGATGTTGACATCAGGTCAATCTTTGATTTTTTAACTATTTTGTCATCTTCCAAATCTTATCTTTGAATGATATTCCTGATATACGTAGTATTTTTTTCCTGAAGTGTGTGTGTGTGTCTTTTCTAAATTTTCTTTGTTACTACTTTGCACCTATAATTATGATTAAGAAGACAGTTGAAACTATTTAAGTCTGTATGTTTAATAAAACATGAGAGAGGAATAGCAGGTTTCCCTAAAATAGAATGATTACCTTATACTCATCAAAAGTTAAAGATCTGTTTTTTTTTTAAAT